ACCCTTCACAACTTAGCACGGTGGCTGTCATGAGGATGTGTTTGTTCTCAGCAACCTCTAGCCTTGTCTCCATAGCCTCCTCAATTCAGCCCAGCAACACCGTTTTTGTGTTCGGCAGATTCTTTTGCAGCATTAAAAGATGGCAAGGTGACATTCTGGTACTTTAACTGTCCATCATTTTCTTGAACCTTTTCCAAAAAGTGCTTCTAGGTTGGAAGATCCTGGAGGTCTCTCCATTGCAGATGTTCAAGTTGCTTATTTCCAGTTTGAATATGTACTACTGATGAAACTATATCGATTTCATCTTCTTGGAACGCGAGAGACAAAGCTGGGCTGAGTAAGTGGATGAAGAGGCATGCTATAATTAGAATCCTTGCCCGCTGCCACTTTCTCAACCAGCCTTGAAACTTCATGCAATCTGCTGCCTTGAATGATCTCTCCTCAGACATTGTCTGGAGATGCTGAAGATAGAGGCCACACTTGTCAACAACAACCTGTAAAGCACTTACCTTTTGAGTTACCCAATGGGTCCCTAAAAGAGAAAAAGATGCATTTTACTAATACTAGTCTTAGTATTTTTAATTTGATATCATAGTTAACTAATCTAAATGAGATATTCAAAAGTTCCCCAGTTCTTCTCCAATGTGAGCAATGAACATATTACAACTCTTGTCACTGTGATATGCTTTCCCCAAGTGTACCCCTTAATTTTCTTCTAGATTTAGAAGTCAAGGGAATTTTAAAATAAATATTTCTTCCTTAGCAACAAAGTATGCAACTTCGAACTTGGTTTTTGTCCTGGCAAGGTCATTTGACTGCATATTGGTGATGTTGATTATAATCAGTTGCTGTGCAGAATCATTGGCAGCTTTCATGGTCTCTGCTCTTTCATGCTCTCCTTTCATTTCTTTCAAATACAGGTCCAGCGCCCTCTTAAGTGGCTCACCTCGAGCATGGTCCTCAGCGTTGCTTAAGCAAAGGTTGGTGGACGCAGTAAATGCCCAGGTGGTGGAAAGGTTTTTCATTCCGTTTAACTTACCAGTGTAGGCTTTGCATACGGCGCAATTTAAACTCGTTACACAATCTGATTTGTTGTTTCAGTGTTGATAACAAGTCACTCGCTTGCCAGGTGTGTGACCAAGGCTGTTGTTTTCCAACCATTAGCTACTGTCATGGATAATGTTCTGGGTTTCTTGGTTGATGTGGATGATAATGGCAATGTTTCTTGAGGTTTCAATCTAAGTGTCTCCGATGATGGTTTTATAGATGGTCTCCTTTTTGCTTTAAGGAAAGTGGACAGATTGGATTGTCGGGGTTTTGGTGCAGCTGAAATCTCAGATCTTTCGTTTACAGCCATTGCCTTGACAATCCTTGCAGTCTCCAACAAGGTAGCTTTCCTCACAATAACCTGGCCTTTTGGTAGAGGAAGATACAGAGTATGCATTACAAATTGGAATTTTACAAGCAATGCAACAGTACTTGATCCCTGTTCGTCCACTCTTTGTGCAGTCCATCACTGTCCAAAAAAATTGTGTTTGTCGCAGTGACATGTCATTAGCTGTACTTATACACGTCGCGTAGATAGCGCTTACTTTACGAGCAAAAACTAAACTCTACGCAATTGTTTTTGCCTGTTTTGAATAGGAACTGGTCAAATTGTGAAATATTTTGGGCAAAGCGAGAAAAATTTACTTCTTATCAGTATTTTGCAACTTGCCCAAACATGTATATTTCATAATTTCTCCTATGTGGGTGTTCCTTTAAGCATAGTAAAGGCTCTTGTTGTTCTTGGGGCTGAATTGCATAGAGGGTCTGTGTCTGGGTCTGCTGTTGAGGTTATTTTTTGAATCTAAAAGTCACTATAGTCTGAATTTTTGCACAAAAACTACAGCACTGTGCGAAACATGCCCAAATAACCACCTCCAAACATAAAGACATCAAGGGAAGAAATTTAAAACAGTTTAGATATTCACTCATTTTGAGAATTGTTAAGAAAGATGGTTTTTTAAAGTTCTCCCCTTGTACACTCAAATGTAACACTCTAGGCTTGGCCGTTCACTGGCAGTAGTTTGTTTAACCTTAAAAGAACTGAAATTGGGAAGAATTGAGCGTCACTGGAAGAGCCCGCTGTGGCAGGCTCCCCATTGTCATTTGAGTTTTCATCGAAAGCAACGCAAAGAGCTACTACGGGCTGCTAACCCGCAGCAGCTTGGGGCACCTTTAGCTTCACCAGCCGGTACGACCACCCCCAGCAGATGGTATAAGCACACGACCTGACATAGGACAAGCCCACCAAACAAGAAGAGAGTACCGTTGTCACACTCACAATAGCTGGGCAAGATCACAGCCCAATATAAGCCAGATGACTGATGTTAAAGTCTGGCTAAGCAGATGTAAGTAGCCTAAGGGCCTATGGCCGCCGGCTAGCGGCGGCAATGTGAATGCCCGTCCCGCCATAAATTCCATGGGCAGTATAAGGCCCGCATGTATGTAGGGCCTTCCGCCCCACCGTGCCTCATTTTCCAGATGTAAAAGCAGACTTCCGCTCATAAAAGAGCATATGAAGGGACATAGCCCTGTTGTTGAATATGTTAGTGATAGGCACAATCATCAAGCAAGGCAGACGAGGCCCTGCCAGGCTAATAACAACTCCCGCCTCGAGGCTGGTAGAAGCTTGCTCCTTTATACTCCCTTATTTTTCCTGAAACGCAACAAGATTACAAATCTCATTGGATGACCTTCTCTCACCAGGCAATTTATTAAAGAATGCATGTCATTTGATTTTACACTTGTTCAATGTGGTCCGCGAATATTGTACTCACTGTGTGGTTGTTACTGAGTAACAACAGAGTCACACTGTCCTCAAGGATTCTCTCATAGCTTTGGGATCACCCCCTCTGAAAGGAAAATCAACCAAGAACCCAGGTGATTAATCGTTCACTTTTAAGTGTGTTGGGGTAACTTGTTGGCCAACAAGGTGTGAATGATTTTGTCATTT